GCTCTGAAAAAATGAAGGATTTATGACACTTGCCCTGACTTTATACAAATTTTGCTCAAAAAAACCTTAACATATTTTGCGTACAATATTATGTGACATTACTCCACTCTGATGCTAACTTATATGACTTATTGAAGTTTCTTTTTGATAAATTGTTTCATTAAGCAAAGCAAGTCGATATTATGCATTACAATATTTTACATTTGCGATTCTCTCTCTGTTCCTCGACATTCCTCATGATACTTATGTGAGCAAGCAATAAGAGAGTCGCCATAGCCTTTCAACTTCGTCTGCAAAAGAAGTAACTAATTCCGTCTGCGATTAAACACGTGCTAATGAAACATTTAAAGGACAGCTTTAAATTGAAATCAATCTTTGGTGTATATACACGAGTACTGATATTTAAGTACGCATGTTAAAATGCAAAAAATAGGTAAACCTTCGAAGTAATTGACATTATTGGACTGGAATTGTTAATAAGCAAATTGTGAAAATGATAAAAGTAGCGAGCTAACAACTTCGAAGTTGAAACGCCCGGGGAATCGCTCGATCAGAAAGGCGAGATGGAAAAAAGGAGCGGCCATTACTTTTGTCTTCCGCGCGGATTGTAATCAGACTTATATCACTGCCGCTGGGCACGCGGCCTCAGACGTAACGACGTAACGACGTAGCGACCTAGCGAGGGAAACAAATCGTTTAAATTGTTTATCAATTATTATCTAATTTATGACTTAATATATTAACTAAGCAGTATCTGTATATAAATTGTGCGGCTTCTAACGAAACACTCTATTTAAAATTAATGTTTTTTTTTTTAACAACACGGGCTAACTACTGATTTAGCTTTCGAACACTCCACCGACTTACATTTACATACATGATTTGAGACTTAAGTTATTGTAGGCAATTTGTATATTATATTATACTTTTAGCATGTGCGGTAGAGGCACGGTGGCGCCCCCTCGCCCTCGCTACGGATACGTTTATTTGCGCGGTTCACTTGGAAGTGAGCCAATATTTTTGGCCAGACCTGACCGCGGTGTTATTACACTATTAAATCCTTATTCAGCGTTATTTTAAAATACGTATTTGGTGTTTTTATTCCCCTGAATTATTGCTTCAAATAAAACCGCTTACAGAACTGAACGTTACACAATATATATTGTTGTTAACAACGGATGTAAGACGTCATCATTCAACTTTGAAGTAAGAAATTTTAAGTAGTCTTAGAATCAACCTGGTATTATAAAACTGACCCCATTGCAACTTTGGAAAATGTAATACTTTGGAGGTAAACGTAACATGCTTTTCCTGTATCGGCATTTTATTATCTCTGTGAGGCTCGTTAGCATAATTCGAGCAAACAATTCGGGTCCGTAGCAGCAGCGGGCCGACTTTAAAAGTCATATTTTTCAATGAAGAATAATAGTGAACATGGCATTTAAATGCTTTAGGAGAGCAGTTCCGGCGGTAGTGCCAACTTAACAAGCGCACTCAACTTGTCTAAGTTGTACAAATCACGTGAGAGCGGCGCACTCAGCGCTCAGTAGGCGCCCTCTGCCGCACACAGCTCATATTTATTATATTGAATGCACATGTTTAAGCTAAATCATAACAAAAAGAAAGAAGCTTTTTATCCGCAATCCGCTTTCGGCGATGTGCAGCGCGGCGGCGCGGTGTAGCGCTACATAATAATTGGATCGGTTTCCTTTAAAACATTGTGATTTAGTGAGAGCAGCGCTCGAGTCGCTTTATTGAATATCGATTATTGAAATTACACTTAACGAATTTCATATAAAAAGTTTTTTTGATGCGACCGCGACAAAGTGGACCGTGAACATTGGATGAGTGAAATCATGGAATCCACATTATGTCAAGAGGAATTCTCAAATTAAGCAAATATATATTTTGCATAAAAACTGTATTGTTCAGAATAGCTTTCTTACAAAAGTGAAGTCAATAATAACCAGCAGTTTATATAATGTTGTTGGGCAAAGGCAAAGAGTATTGTGGGTGTCGATTGCGACAGTGTCAGTGGGGTCGCGGCGCGTGTGTTGACGTGACGCGCCCTCTGAGTCAGGAGACACGTCGCAGGTGGCGCCCCCAACGATATGAAAAAACTTCGCCTTCATTGCACACGTGCTTCATATTACACAACTAAATTATCCTCACTTTACGTTAGTAAAATGTGAGTACCGAGTGGCAGTAACTGTATGTGTGTTACCTAACTTACATCATAAACACATAAAAGAAACTGCACAAAATGATAATTAAGGTGGAATTACCTTTGGCGCAATATTAACTAAAAATTTCACGAGCGAACCCTCGTAAATTTTTTCCCTTGTGAAATAACCCGACGTAAGCTCCTCCGACACTGGAGCCTTCGCAATGTCTCTGAAAAAGTGGAAACAATTTACGAGGCTAACGATAAGATGCCTCCGCTCTGGCTCGAGACCGGAGACACGTGCCCGCAGCGTGTCTCGTCTCTTGCAGACACAGTCATCTCATATGAATGAATCTATGAAAAACTATTTAAATGGAAATATGGTCGGATGTAAAAGCGTTGCATAAAAAGTTTAAATTCAGCGAGGTGTCATCAACATAGCGAGTGCCGAACAACAACGGGAGGGGTCATTTTACAATTCTATGGGCGTTCCATTGGAGTATGCGTGACTTGCTTACATTCAATTAGAAACTTTTTCAACCTAGCAATAAAGTCTAATTTGGCTTCTAACTGTAATTTTACGTGTGAGGTGACATTTAACGGATATGGGCCGCTCTGTCGGTTCAGGTTGAAATATCAAATGCCAATTATAGTGACACACAATTGTACGCACGAACACCCGACATCGACACACCCGACATCGAGCGGCGAGCGATCGGGCCCATTCGACATCATCACATTTAGGTAGTGAAATGTGCACGGAATATCCCGCGTTGCTTTTGTCTCAAATACTATTCGAGTTTTAAGTAAAAAAAAATGTTTAAAATCTACAGTAGGTGTAGCTGCAGTAGGTGTGTCAGCAACTGCAAGCAAAATCAGGCCTATTTGTAACCCTTAAATAATGACTTCCTTTTCCCATTTTTATTTAAATTTTATTTGGATCTTATTACATTGGTGTTTATTGAGAAAAGGGCCCGCGTGCATTAACATGGCTCCAATTTGACGCTAAGGCATTTCCCGCTGTAAGGGATGAAAAGAAAATGTTCCGCGTGGCCGACTTGCTTTTATTAAATTCTTAATACTTTGCGTTGAATGCTTGATCTTACAATCCCCCCCGCGCGTGTGTGCCGCACCACGCGCCCGCACGTCCTCTGTCAGACTGGGTGACGGGATCTGAGTTCACTTGCGAAAGCACCCGCGCCTGGCGACCACAGTTAGGATGCTTTTACATGGCGCCACAATATTTTGCTAAGGAAATTCGTTTATGTAAAATAATATCCTTTGATTTTCCAGTATTTATTTTACTTTTTCAAAGTACAAGTTGTACTTCAGCTTACAGAAACAAATGAATAACGTATGTATAATAATCCTGCGCAGACATGTCACTGGGCTTTGCTCTGACAATTATGTTGGTCGCTACATGAAGAATGGAACTTCTGAATGCAAAACAAAATATTATTCGGACAATTCTGGGCCCGAAACGAGATGATGGGTAAAGCAGAACCCGATATAATCTGGAGATAGAAAAGTATCATTATGAAACACTAAATGAAGTTGGATATCGTTTTGTCTGTCAACTTTTGGTTGGTAACCTCCAAAAACTGGACTTTAGCAGAATGCTACGTGGTAGTTGCTATTGCAAGAAAAAAAAAAGATTTTGTAACTAATCTCAGTAATATAAACAATTTAAGTAATGGTAAAGATGTACTATTTACATGCAAAAACTTTAAAAAAAGTAGTGTGAGGAGAACATGGCGAATGATAGGTCTATTTACACGTAAACGTGGTCCCCGTGTTGTATTAGCATATGGTCGTTAGTCGGCGTCGCGCGCACGCGGCGAACTTCTTTGACAAATGGAACACATTCGGCCCATAATATGTTAGAGCATAAAAAGACAACGGGGCAAGTACTTTAAGTACAAATATTTATTTAACATTATAACACCTAGTAAATACGTTAAACATATACAATTAAAACGCGTATTATAATACAAAATAAATTTAAGGCAACTTTTCAAATTGCCTACGCATATAGTAAGTTCGCAGTTAAACACAGTTGCAAAATTATTATCTAAGTCAATAATCGTCAATAAAGCTGTAGATTACAGGCGGAGAATGAAGTTTTGGGCTAGTTGAATGATCCAGCGCAGTGCGAGTCCGTTCATTAATCACCATGAGGCGAGGCGAGTGGACGATAAGCGCGGACGGCGCTGGACGTCAAGGCGAGCCTTTCACGCCCCATTTCCTGCTTTATCAAATTATACTCATGTTGTTCAGAGGTTTTGTTCGCTAACCTCATTAATCTTCTTGTAAGCAGCCGCGCGGTGTCACTGTGTCAATAGAAATTGACGAAAACCTGCGCTCTGCTATTTTTACACTATCATAACAATTTATTTCTTGTATAAATACTGTAAACTCTAATTCGCAAGTCTTTTTATAATCGATGTTATATGCCAACAACAAAAAATAGCTTCCAGTGTACGTACGTACATATTATAGTCGGTTTGATTACAAAACCTAATCACAGAGTTATAATGCAGACGTCGGATTTAAGCTAGATGAAGCAATATATGTACGTAAAATCATTGGATCGTATCATTCAATAGAACATTACGCTGCAATATCGTAACTTCGTATTAGTTATTGCGTTTGCTGTTGATACGAAAGTTTCGCTTCTATTCTAGTGCAATATAGTTCAGTTTTGCTCGCAGCCGACCTTTGAATTCTGCAATCAAGACGTATTGGACGCCGATTCACAACTTGGTTCGCTTGTTTTGGTCAGACTTCCACATAGAAGTTCAATACTTTATCCTATTTAACCATTTCCAACGTATAAAACAATGAAATCTCTACAGACCTTAAAGTGTTATTTGGTGAATATACAGATTTATTAATATTAGGTGATTGTTCAGTTGTCGTTGTTTTCCAGAGACATAAGTATGCAAAAGACTTCACACTCTTATGAGTCGTTTAAGAACGTTAGGATCCTTCATACCATTAAATAAATAATAAAGTACACACACAACATAGAGGATGGTGTTTGAGAAATAATTAAAGTTCTGACACGATGCAATATTTAGCAATAAAATGAGTGTATTCAATCGCCAATTCGTGTGATGCATGAGAGTTGTGAAGCGGCAGAGAGCTGAGGTTTCGAGTAGTTTATGCTTAAGATTTTATTAAAAACAGTAACCCTTGACATACATTTTATCGAAACACGTTCATATTTTAAGCTTATATTTTTCAGAGGATGTTGTAACGTCACTGTTGATGTTAGAAGTTAATGCAAAAAGAGGCGTCACCCTTTGCAGTAACAAAATATAATCGGCGCGTCCAGCCGAGCGTCAGAATGATATCCGACAAGAAAATGAAACAATTTTGAAAGATGGTGCGACCATTAGCGGCGAGAGTTTAATCAAGGTGCGCTTTGAGGACGCTGAGCAAACGCAGCGGCTGGAAATATTACAAGGATATATAAACACTTGAAAACTATATAACTTGCACAGGTGCCCTGACACACTTACCCACGCTAAAAGCCCTCAAGTAGAAGTTGGGTTAGAATAATAGTACTTTTCTCTTTGTTTTCGCAACGAAGATGTAATATATTTACTGGTTTCAGAACGAGTGCAGTTAATTTCTGTTCAAAATCATGTTTTTTCTTTTGCGATTCGCTTCTGTAGCGATCTGTTTGTTTATTGCAAGGTCCTCGGGTCCGGAGCCCGAATGCGAGGCGAGACGAGGGTCCCGTTGGGACTCCGGCACGTTAACTTTTAGGATATTGAGCCGATTTAACGCGCAGTTTAACACACTTGTTCTTTCTCCGTACTTCGTCGGTATTAACGACGAACGACTCCTACATATTCAATAATTAACCTGTTTATATAAATATTTTAGTTATAAAGAAATCTCGTAATATTTGTCGATGTATTTGTATGTATTATATGTAGACAAGTCGGCCCGCCGCCACCGGGACACAGACGTGAGTTGCGGAGAAACAATAATAATGTTGAGAACAAATACACAGAGAATTAGCACACATTTATTGTTATTTGCTTTCGTGCAATGTATTATTTTAGGTGGACGTTTGAATGTAGAACACGGGCGCGGGCTAATGTAGCAAATTGCTTTTCTAATGATATTCCTCTCCTCTGATACAATATTATCCGAGCACACAGTATTTCTGTTATTTTACATCGCTTTTCGTATTTAGTTAGCACATGTACTTCGGTAGAAGATTTTTTGGTCGCGTGGTTTGTTTATGCTTAAATTTTGTCATTGAATATCACATACAATAATACGATCTTTCTATAAATATCTATAACAAAATTAATTTGTTTATGAAATTATACTTTTCGTTGAGCCAAAGTGTGTATATATCTGAAATTGAAACTATTTATATTTTCAGAAAAACATCGATCAGTGTCCATCTGAGTATGAAACTGCTCAAATTGGGTTCACAGAAAAAATCATATTCTAGTTTCACGGTTGACCTGAAGCCTCGCGGCGCCTCGCCTTCTGCTCAATGACATCGGAACGTTCATACATCTGAGAGAGTGCATTTTGTTTACATTAACAGCGCAATATTTAGTTTTGCCATTGCTACTAACTTGCAAATTTAAAAATATAAATGTAAATCTTGACGAACATAAGTTGATTTTAAATTCATATTTCTTTATCCTCAATATAAGATAAGGAAGACTGGCTGCACAATTTACAAAGGAGCGTTGAAGACTCGTAGCCGCGAGTTCGTCGCAATTGGTTTATTGCACAGATTGCGTTTGTTTCATTCAGTAAGATTCTATCGCCGACCTCCGTTCACTGCAAGAATACCAATGCACCTTAAAGATACACATACATTTAAAGTTACAGGCCGTGTTCACTTTATCAACATAAAATAGAATACGGATTTACTACTTTAATTTTTTCACTTACTAACAAATACACATGTATTTGTAATTTGTAACTTTTTTGTAGGCATGCCTTATATCATTAGGGTTGACATAACACAGAGCTGCCAGTGGAGTGGAACAAGCCGGGAGTCGACGCCGGGACCCCGCGCCTGGACGAGGGGACGCCGGAAAGCCGAGCGAGACCGCAAAATAACAAAATTGCATTTTAATTCTGCTCAGCGGCGCGGAACATGGCGCTACGTATTTTAGCCTTTTATTACGACGTCAATAAGATTCGGTCGCCTGACGAACTTTTGCGGAGTTTAAAAATATTTCTTATATAAAAGGTGGTGTAGAAATTAAAATTCCGAATATACTAACAACTTCCAAAGGATGTTGACAGCCAAAGAATGCCCCTGTGTTTCAAAAGAAAGGATTTGAAGATGATGAATGGGAAGGTCGACCAGTGGAGCTGCTCTTCTTTGCGCAACCTGCTGTTTGTTTCATAGTTCATTTAGCTCCGGCCCACTCAGATTGCGGAAACGGTGCGGCGCTTTAAGTGATTGGATACTATTCAATATATGTACATGGAGCGCTGTCGCCGAGCCAATCTCTCAAAGTGGTGGGATTGCCGGCCGCGCAGCTCGCAGCTCACACTGATTCCAACTCATTGCCTGACATATTGTCGTTCAAAATAAAACTGCAGATGCAGATTTTAGGATCAATCTGAATGACAAACGAATCGTAAACGTACTATATTTATACGTACTTACAAAAATATACTTGCCGGAGCATTTAAACAAGCATTATAAGAACATTAAATAATAAATAAGGGCGCCGTAGTATTAATGAGCTAATATTTTACATTTATTGGGCCCGTGATGAAGGCCCGTGCCGCTGCCCTCACAGCCGCGGTCCGAAACGACCTGTCGCCTGACGACCACATTTCTAAATGATAATTAAACAAATGATTATTATTGCTCGTCCATACTCCAACCGTGTTTAAGTATATTATACTTTTTATTCCGCTAAATATAAACTCATGTACAGTGCAGCTTTAGTTTTCCAGGATGACAATCATGTTGTTCGCAAAGTTAGGTAAGAAGCTGTGCGTATATAATCGGCGGCTGGCAGACCGCTGGAGACCTGATTAATTTCACAACTTACTCACACACTATTAATTTAAAAAATATCATATATACCCTTTTTTGTGTGTCTTTAACAGTTGGTTCAAAGTTTTATTTTTCATTTGACCCACCAGCTCTGCACTCAGAAAGTTGTGGTAACATTTCTAATGTTTACAGTTCTTACATTAACTAAATTACGGCAACAACATTGATACGACAATTTTGCTTGTTACTGTAATGAGCTCATAATAATATTATAGAATTTGCTTTTATCGTATGCATTCGATTAATGTTATTGAATTGTTTATAATTTGGTAATATGGAAATGTACGCTTCCCTCCACACAGCACAGTACCCACGTAAAACCTGAAATATAATTTTAATTTGCTCGTAGACAAGATAAATGTCATTGGCACATGAGCGCAGACCGCGGACCGACGCGCCGTGCACACATAATGACATTTATCAAAAAACAATTGTGAATGAGTTGAGGCAGAAACAAATGCGAGTGGCATTCGACTGACGACGTGACAACGACGTGACGACAAACTGACGCCTTCCCGCCGTGGGAGATGATTGCGTTGCGCTCTACGAACGTAACGCGACTCAGACGCACGATATAAGTATTTTATTGCTTTAATGTTTTAGGTAAGTGTCAATAGCTAACTTAAATCGAGATAAGAGCTCCTCGGCGTCGTGGCTCGCTACAGTCTGGCGCTACAGCTGTGACAGGATGGCGAGGTTCGCATGTAAGAAATGAACGGGGAGTTGACATATTTCCGCTTTGACACAGGCAATGGTGATTGTCTTTAATCAGTTGAATTAAGCTAGACTGTGACATATTATCAGAAGACATAAAATAGAGTATAGTGTCTGCCTTCATGGATAAATTAACAGTATCCTTCGTACGTAAAGTAGTCAAAGCAGCAAATGATCGAACGAGATTGGAACTAAGGTGACGGCGCTAATCCAAATTGAAGCTTTGAGGGTAGCAATGAGACAATTGACCACAAGCGGCGCCAGCATCGCCGGACTGTACGAGCTGTATGTGTGAGTTGTCAGCTGTGCGAGCCACGGCACCGAGAAGCTCTTATCTCGATTTAAGTTAGCTATTGAGCCTTTGACATAGCTTCATGCAGGCAAAATAATCACGCTATATAAGATAAAAATAAACTTTTGTATTATTTTTACTTACGACAGGAGTTTTAAAGCGTCTACGGTGAAGGGTGATTAAATATGGCACAGGAAATTCCGCTAATTGTTATCTACCAACTACATTACTCAGTACTATTTGTGCGTTTCTTCAACAATTCAATGAACAAGGTGAGGGCTGGACGCCGGGTGCTGGGAGCTGGGCGGCCGCAAAGTGCTGCCGTAAGAATATTAACGATTGCCCCTAGCGGAAAGCCATTATCGTAAATGCTATCGCACTTTACGGTTTGAAAAAGTGATCGCCCAGAGCGGGGACATCGAAAGAAACTCGCTCCCCCAAGGACAGATTTCTTTTGAGGCTAGTAATGAAATCGCCGTAAAGCCGAAGTGGCCGTCGATCGCATAAAACTATTTACAGCGTCCTCACGCCTCGTTTCTTTTTAACATTAAACGAGCGTTTCCACTCACGACTCTAGCAAGCTATGACAACTTTTGTATAAGATGTGCTCCTTACTTTATTATAAGGCACAAAAGCGGTGCACATTGATACTGCAGACTGGATATATGGAAGGAAATAAATAAAGGCTTACATTCGAAATCATGTTGCAATTAACAATGCCTAAATGCCTCCCCAAAGTCCAAAGAAATGCTAGTGAGCCCACTGCGCTGAGCTGGACGCGGCTCGCGCCAGCGTCGCGTGGCCATAGCCACTTTGGCCATAGCTCATCCCTATAACTGAATCACATCTGTATATGAGGCGCGGTAATTGATAAATGATTAGTAGCAAAACCTTTTAACAAATCCGGCAAATAAGAGAGAGGATTAGATTTATTCCCCGCATTACGTCTCGACCTTTTACCTTTACACTAGATTTAACCCAAACCCTGTTACGTAAAAGCTTTTAATAAAATAAATCTCAACTTTATCATGATGATGATCTGATCCTGGACTGCGACTTTTAGGCCATTTTCTTTTTATATATTCATTATGTTTGTTTATTTCTGTAAATTTACAATTTTAATAGCAATTAATTTTAATAGTTTTGCTAGTTTCTTATCATGAAAGTTTAAAGAATCGCATCAACGTATCTGTAGATCTTTCATCTTTTTGAAGTCGCACACAGATGTAAATGTAGGCATTCTGAAGAACGTTCTCTAGTGTTCTGACAAGAAGTTGAAGGTATTTATAAATTCATAATGTAGTGACGTCGTTTGTTTCGGCGGGAAATCTCCTGCCAAAAATACCACTATTACTCTGTTTATAGGGGGCAGTCAAGTAAAATGAAAGAAAAATTCCTTTTCCAATTTACGTCTCTATTGACCAAATCGTTGTCAGCGTTCGATTGGAGATTTTTCATTTTGGTATTAGTTTTTTATAGATTTCCGACTCGAGGCAATATGCAGACGAAATCGAATGTATGTGTATGCAACGACGTACAACATGTTGCGCGTGTGAGACGACCGCAGTCATTCAGATAATGTATCGCACCGCCTGTTCATATCGTACAGCTTTACGATAAAATTTTATTGAGCCAACTTGCGCTGAACAAATTCGGAAACCGCAGTATTTGTTCTTGTTTATCTGCCGATATCAAATGTATGAGCAGCAGCGTGCTGCGTGTTGCGTGTTACGTGCTACGCGCGCTACGTGCTGCATGTTTCGTGCTACGCGCGCTACGTGCTGCATGTTTCGTGCTACGCGCGCTACGTGCTGCGTGCTGCGTGCTACGCGCGCTACGTGCTGCATGTTGCGTGCTACGCGCGCTACGTGCTGCATGTTGCGTGCTACGCGCGCTACGTGCTGCGTGCTGCGTGCTGCATGCTCTCACATCTGACAAAATATGAATATAATGATAATTAACAATATCGATATGGAAAATGTTTAACGGCTTATAGTTCGTATCTATCCGCTTTAATTCTAAATATCTGCAGACTTTTGCTCACTCGATTCGGATACTCATTCAGTTAATTACAAGTTAGTTTACTAAATTGGAAAGCGAGTTCTAAAACTAATATCGGCGCGCGGAGAAGCGGCCGGCCGGGAACTTTGCGATGCGACCCTTTTGTTAATTAAACCCACTGCGCGAATCTCCATCTGGTGGGCAATGATTTCTACTGATGCACGTAATTCACTTATTACATATATGTACATATGTATCCTATCTAGTTACATACAGACTTTAGGAATAAAGAGAACACATATCGATGGTTATTATAATTACGTATTCCCAAGGTATGATTAAAGAAGAAAGTCATCATGTACACGGAATCAAGGAAGGTATGATTTACGAGGATTATAATAACCTATTAATTACTACCTTTGAGTAAATGCCGACTCGACTAACCCGATTGTACGTATAAATCGATATCCCATCTCACAACACAAGCAGACGAGGATGCAATGCACGTGAGGGCGAATAGTATGCAGTGTAGTATAGTAGCAGAGTGTAGTAGCTCGCTCATACGTTTTG